TGTGATAGGTATTTTTGATGTTTAAAAACCTTTCACTTAGGTAACCGGGATTCGATCTTCCCCACGCTGGGCTCACAAAAAACACACACAAACTCCATTCATGTTCCAAACGATTCTCTCTCAAGTCCCTGGTTTTCACCTGAGACAGCATTAAATCACTCTTTAGTTCTTGTCACTCCTTAACCAATTACAATCAGTATAAGAGACTCCAAGGCCTTGCCTTCAAACAAACAACCAATCACATGAAAGTTTTACACATCAGAATCAATTGATTAATCGTCAAGCTATTAAGAAAACCACTATTATATTGTCAACACCAACTAATATTTATGGGGTAATAGTCTTGCAATAACATTCCACAAAGATACCACATGAGTTTAGAATTGCAAACAACATTGGTTTAGGATTACAGCTACCGTACTGTAATCTTTTAAAAACTGCAGACTCATAAGATGTCTTTGGCTGATTTCGACTAGCTCGCCATCTGGCCTTGTCATTAACCTTTATCAGTAGATGTCATGGCAACCACTGTCAAACTGACTGACCCCGTCATCTAACCCCTATCAGTAGATGCCATGGCAACCACCGTTAGGCTGAAATATAAATCATGACAATACACTCACACAAATAATATCTTTGTACAAATTACGGACAAATAAAATAACAGATTACATTTTACACCTTGCCCCAGTCCACGATTTCACGTTTTTTTATTTATTCAAAATACATTATTACGAAAAATACCCCTTTGCCGACTCTCATTACAGAAAATAGATGTGTTATATTTTCTATTATTTGTCACAAATTATATAGAACGCTATATACATATTATAACTAGTAGTATGATGAAATTGTTTGCGTGTATCTGTTAATCGACTTAATTAGCTGATTACTAGCGAATGGCTGTGTTATGTCTGTCATCGTTTAGGCCCATGCGAGGTTCTGGACGGAACTTGGTTCAGTGATTTGGAACTAATTACGATATAACCGTCGCTATCCGGACTACTATTTCTGACAGTTGGTATTCGTAGTTACTAATGTAGTGAACGATTAATCAAAAAATATGACGTGTCCAGTACTTAGTGTGATTAGTTGAATGTGTGAAGGCCACGCCTTATACTGCTTTGTAATTGGTTAAGGTTTTGAAAGTGAATAAAGTTGTTTTAGTTGGTCTTGGCGAGTACACGAGGAGAGACGCAGTTTGAGGCAGTCTAGAGATGCAGTCTAGAGTCCAGTCTTGGGCGAGTCTTGGGTCAGCCTTGCGATAGTCTTGGGGACTTTTCCCCAGGGCGCTGTGTCTTATAGACTGACT